CGTATTTATAGTGCACCTCCTAGATTTCTATCACCACTGACTGTGGAAAAACCACTGCTGACCGCGGTAAATCCACCGCTATAGATACGAAGGGATACAACTTTTGTTTTTGAATCATCTCAATATTCCTTGTAGATCAAAAGATATAGGCTTCCGAAATCAGACCAGTGAACCTGCAGATCCTTCCTCATCGTGGACCGCGGACCATTTTCAGCCTCAGCAGTAATCCCACCGCCTCAGCGGAAACATATCTGCCTCAGCGGTAAGATTTCTGCCCCAACAAAGATTTAAGCATCAGAACCATTTTCTAAGTTCCGGAATGTCCGGACTCGCTCAAAACTCATCCGAAACTCATCCGAGGCCCACGGAACCTCAACCAAATATACCAACACATCCCATAACATCATATGAACTTAGAACCACTCTCAAATCACGTCAAACAATGCTAAAACCACGAATCAGATGCCCAAACGCATGAAAATCGCTATGAACTTTAAGAACCTCTAGAATTGCAACCAAACGTCTGAACCACATCAAATCAACTTCGAACCACACCAAATTTGGCAGACAAGTCCCAAATGACATAACGGAGTTGTTCCAACTTTCGGAATCGTATTACAACCTTGATAACACAAAAGTCAACTATGGGTCAACCCTCTCCATTTTCCAAACTTCCACTTTTCCAACTTTCACCTAAATGTCTCAAATTACCCTACGGCCTCCAGATCCAAATCTGAACACACGCCCAAGTCCAAAATCACCATACGAAGCTACTGACATCATCCAAAACTCATTCCGGAGCCGTTTACTCAAAAGTCAAATTTCGGTCAAGTTCTTTCCGCTTAAGCTTCTAGAACTATATTCCTTCTTTCCAATTTGACTCGATTCATCCGGAAACTAAATCCAACCCTGCACACAAGTCAATATACATAATGTGAAGCTGCTCGTGATCTCAAACTGCCGAACTAGATGCAATTATTCAAAAAGACCAGTCAGGTCATTACATCCTCCTCCACTTAAACAAACGTTCATCCTCGAACGTGCCCGGAGTCATTCCAAGCCACCAAATCACTGCATGAGCTCCTCATACATACACCCGAGGGTGATTCCCCATCACCCAACCCTTGCAGAACTGACAATGCCACTTAACTGAAGGTCTCATCTCCTCCCCAGTCTGTAACCTTAGAATAGAACCCAAACCTCAACATCTGAAATTCATCATAGGACCGAATTTCACATCATCACACTGAATACACCCGAACAAGCTGAATCTAGCCAAAAATTCTAACGCAGAATAAAATCACATGCTGATCCACGCAGCTCAAATACTCGAAGCAATAACCTCTGACCACCATAGTTACTCAAATAACACTTTGGATGCTGGCAATACATTTCATATTGAATACAACCTTGTTCCGGACTTCCACAACACTGCCCATAGTAAGTAAACACGCAGAAACTCATAGCCGCCCATGAAGTCAACAAGTCAAGAAATTCTCTCGCCGGTCAAGGGCCATTACCCAAATCTTAGCAGAAATACCCTCTTACTTCCAAACACTCCTCATCCTCAATACCATAGTACCAATCTCAGGTTTCAGAACCTCATCTCAACCAATACAAGCAGCCCAAGTAACAATAAATCACGGAACCACACAGATTCTCACACTACACAGTTTGTACATCAAACCAGTAATGACTCAATTATGCAGCACAAATAAAGGAAAGCAAAGTATAAGAATTATCTAACAAGTACAACATGTGTAACAACAAAAGTAAAAAAAAATAAAAATTTCATCAAATCGCCCCACAGAGGGAAAACACAACACCAGATAAACACAAGGAAAGGGTATCCCATACAACATCCGCTGCGTCGTGCAGCCCTTCCCAAATACTCATCAAGCCAACATCCCACATAACATCTGCTGCAGCGTGCAACGCGCTCCCAAATACTCATCGAGCCAAAAATGCTTGGGCTCATTGATCATATGAATACTAATATCAAGTACAACAGAGTGCATAAATAAAATTGTGGGAAAAAGTGAATAGAAGTAATAAGACATAAAAGGAACAAGTACAACTGAGGTGCAATGAGCAAATTAACATCATGAGGGCTACCTCGCCCGCATCGCCATAAGGCCTGGATGGAATTACAACATGCATGGGGAATAATCATACAACCTCACAGCTCATCACAACATAAGAGAGCAGTACATAAACATGGGTTAGAGGCACAAATAATATCCATTTTGCCTGATAACATAACCAAAATTAGAATCTCACAGGAGCACACAAACTTAACCTGGTACAAGATATATATTCTCATTGAGCTTTCACATAGCCCCCAACCCAAATCCTAAGTATTTTCCAAATAGGTAAATATCCTTTCCAAAATTCCACAGCGACCTATCAATAATGCATGCTATTAATTATCCCATTCTCAACATTTCTTCAAAATCCGCAAATAAGAAATAAACCATATATAAGGGCATCTAGCCCCAAACCTTAGGAATACCAAAATTTACATACCCGACTCAACTACGCAAATCAAATGGTTGATATCTCACTCACATCCTATCATTCTGCTGAGGCACCTATATAGGATTTCTGGCCGTGTAATAAATCATGAACCTCGAAAGCCTCAAAACCCAGTAATCACCATCCTACTAGCCATGCACCCGCAAACCAAAACTCAAGGTCCTTTAAAAAAATGCACATTCTTCACATATGATAGCCAACAAGGTCAACTCTCTATTAATTTCTGATACCTATTCAGGGGAAAGCTACAATGTACCACATATTCCTTATGTCTATAGTAGACAGCCAACTCAAGCCATTTCCAAACCATCGAGAACCCTCCAAGATTTGCCCGCACGCACTAGGCCATCAGGACTGCACCTTCTTAACTCAACCGAGTCACACAAGTCGTCCGATCCAAGAGTGCTGGCACAAATGCCAATAGAGAATTCCCATTTCAAGGACCAATTACTTATCGCTATGTTAACCCAATACCACAGGGCTGACCCACTTTCTTTGGATAGTCGATATGTAATAATCCCAATCAAGTCCAAATATAGATGATCCTAACACGAGCCACGTAGCCAGAAGCTCATAAACCACCACATTTCCTCTAAAGCACCTCGTTTTGCTGCAACCACTATACCTATGCTGAATAGACCTTCTGTGAATCTGAAGTTGTTCATCCAACTCCCCTTGATGGCGAAATGTAGATCCATTAATGACGTAGAAATACTCAGGCCAAAACTGACGTAAATCTGACTCTACAATACTAATGCCGCTAATGGACTCCTCCACTTGGCGCGATGCCATAGTAAACACCATCTGATGATCCGTAAAATTAACATTCACAGCTCGTACAACACAAATCACAAGATACTCTAGTACCACAAACTATCCCCAATCAACACCACCTCGTGACCTTGCCACAATTGCGACGACTAGTCATCCAATTAAACCTTCCCAAGCCGCACTCATCAACCAGATGTCGGAAACCGCTGCGCCTTTATTTCAACAATTGAATAGTCTCTAAATAACTCTGTATCTCCAATCTGGATGACACGTTGAGACAATGCATGAGCATCTCTGACTCCTTCGTAGACCGTCTGTAGCATCACGGACCACTGGCGCATAGCGGACGCTGAGAGCGTAATATTATTCACGAGTGGATATAAAGAGGGATAAGTCATATACTTCAAGATGAATTAATATCGCACGATAAGGAATGAAAGAAACGGAATTTCCTAACAGTTTTGTAGCCTCTCGAAGATAAGCACAGACGTCTCCGTACCAATCCGCAAGACTCTACTAAACCAGCTTATGACTCGTAGCACCTATGAACCTAGAGCTCTGATACCAACTTGTCACGACCCAAAACTCTTTCCAAAAGATTCGTGATGGCACCTAGTCTCTAAACTAGGTAAGCCTAACATTAACTGAGATAACAGTGATACTTGCTAACTTTAAATTAAATAACTCTTAACAAATTCCAATTTCCAAAATCGGTAGTACAAGTCATAAGACTTTCTAAGAGTAGTTATACAAAATAAATACATCACTATTCCGAAACAAAAGGAATAAATGGAAATAAGTACAAATGAAGGTGATTCTAAGGCTTGTAAACGCTGCAGCAGGTTTACCTTGAGTCTCCACTGCAACGACCCGTACAGCTACTACCGATCAAATTCCTGGATCTGTACACAAAAATATACATAAGTGTAGTATGAACACACCATAGCGGAACCCAGTAAGTATCAAGACTAACCTCGGTGGGGTAGTGACGAGAGACAGTCCAGACACCTACTGGTCAAATAAATTGAACAGGATATGATAATAAACTATCAACCTAAAGATGACAAAGTAATATAAACAGCACGGAAAGAACAACTACAATCAATATAAATAATAAGGGAAGCACGGATGAAAACTAAAGATAACCAAGTAAATTAACACCAACATAGCTGGAACATAGATAGTAAAAATGTACTCAAATAAGGAAGGCGATGTCAGCTCAATAAATCATATCATTTCTGATGCACAATTTCATCCATCTCAAACTCGATGTCTCATATCATAACCTCAATTACCAAACCTTTAGCACACCCGGTACCTTGTGCCCACATATTTCTATCTCACTTTGCACAACAGCGTTCTCATGTTACTCAGTTCATAGGGTCCATAACCAATGCAATTAAAATGTTCAAGGAGTCTTACTTATATAACATAAAGTGGAGTATAGCTTCTAAACCAATTAGGAACTCAGCAAGAAAAATGAAGTTATTTTTAGAAATCATTTGAATAAAGAAAGTACAATTTTCAATTAAAGTACAACATCGAACGAATTATTACCTTTAACAAGGGATTTAATAAATTAACTTAGTAGAAATTCCATTTTAAGCAAAATACAACCTCAGGCGGTTTAAGAAAATTTAATTGAGTAACTAATTGAATTGAAGATGAAATAATTATTGAAATTTAAAAGGGTGATGGATCTTGGGAAATTGGGGAGGAGGAAATTGCTACAGAAATTGAGGAGGCAAAAAACTAGTTTGAGATGGGCTGCTGAGGGTGATTTCAACACCAAGTTTTTCCATTCCTCTGTCAATAGTAAGAGTAGGAAACTTCTGCTACACATAATTCAAAAGGGTGATGGATCTTGGGAAATTTGGGAGGAGGAAATTGCTACAGAAGCCACATAATTCTATCAAAATCTTTTTAAGAAGGCCGATTAGAATATAAACCAAGCATTATTCAATACTATTCCTAAATTGATTGAAGAGTCAGATAATAAGGCCTTGATTGTTTTACCTACTTAGGAGGAAATTAAAGAAGTGGCTTTTTCTATGTATGCTGATTCATCTCGAGGACCTGATGGCTTCTCTGCTAAGTTCTACCAAATATGTTGGGGTATCATCAAAGGGGACCATGTTAGGATGATTAGTGCTTTTTTCTCTAGGGATTCCATTCCTAAATCTATCACCCGTACATGTCTTGTTCTCCTTCCTAAGATTGATAATCCCAAAACTATGTCTGATCTTAGGCCCATTAGTTTAGGAAATGTGTCTTGTAAGATTATTTCTAAGCTTCTAAATAGCATACTTTCTTCGCTACGGCCTAAGCTCATCTTTTCTAACTAGTTTGGTTTTATAAAGGGTAGGTCTATTAGTGAAAATATTATGTTAGCTCTGGAGCTTGTTCATACCATCTCCAAACCTAATCTGGGGGGAATGTGGTTTTTAAATTTGATATGTCGAAAGCTTATGATAGGGTGTCATGGGAATTTTAATGTCTTTCTTTTAGAGCTATGGGATGCGGGGATGGGTGGATAGATATGATATGGAGATTGGTATCAAATATATGGTACTCAATCAACATAAATGGAACTAGGTCGGGTTTTTTTAACTCATCCAGAGGGCTTAGACATGGTAACCCCCTATCTCCCTCTTTGTTTGTTATTTGTGCAGAGCTTTTGTCAACATTGATGAATAAGTTGCCTGAAAATGCTGATTTCAGGCTTTATACTGTTGACAAGCCTAGTCCAGTGATAACACACCTCTCATATGTTGATGATACCATTCTCTTCACATCTGGAGATTTGGAATCTATTAGATTGATGATGCTCAACTTGAAGATTTATGAAGAGACCTTTGGACAATTTATAAATAAGGAGAAATCTTCTTTTCTGGTTGCTCCAAAGGCATTACAAAATTTCATAGAGGAGATTAAGATGATGATGATAGGTTTTCAACATAAACATTTTCCTATGACATATTTAGGTGCAACAATTTATGTAGGAGGGAAGAAAGTGTGTTACTTCAATGATATGATTACCAAAGTAACTAATAGAGTGCAGGGATGGAACAATAAACTTGTATCTGCTGGAGGAAGAGCTATTTTGGTCAAATCAATATTGTATTCTCTCTCTATGCACATCATGGCTGCAGTAGACCCTCCTAAGTCCACACTCAATCACATTGAAAAGGTGATCAGTAACTTTTTTGGGGAGAGTTTGAAGGCAAACTAAAGAACCATTGGTTTTCATGGAAGTCATTATGCGACTCAAAAAAAGAAGGTGGTGCCGTCTTTAGATCTATACATGATATTTGTCTCACTTTTGCTACTAAAAATTGGTGGGGATTGAAAACACAACAATCTTTGTGGAGAGAGTGTATTGAGGTAAAGTACTGCAAAAGGATACATCATGTGGCTAAAAGGTGGAGGCACCTGCAGTCTCACATATGGAGATTAAACATGTGGTGGAACCCCTTATCCTTTGGAAGCCCAATGCAACAGAATGCTCTTTTTGGTCGGATGATTGGTCTGGACTGGGACCGCTAGCTAAATTTGTGGCTCAAGGACCCAAGCCAGGCAAAATATAGTTAAAACGGGTCTATGATGGTGAGACATGGAACTTTCAGAAGGTTCAACAAGTTCTACCAAATAACATTTTGGAGCAGATCAAGAAAGTCATAATTGGTGAAAATAACAAACTAGATAGGCTTATTTGGAAACCATCCAATGATGGTAAATTCTCTTGTAAAACTACTTTTCATACGTTGAGATAAACTAGAATCTCTTCCATGTCCTCATAAAGAATATGGCATAAAAACTTCCCCTTTAAGTTATCCATCTTCATGATGAGGCTTTTGAGAGGGAGATTACCAATTGATGAAGTGATAAGAATGTTCGGCATTCAAGGACCTTCTAAATGCTATTGTTGTAAAGATACACAAGAAGATTATATTGCTCACATCTTTTTCTCAATATGAAAAGCTCAATATGTATAGAAACATTTCAGTCAGAGCGTAGGTATTACAATCTAAAGCAACTTAAAACATACATGGATGAAATATTGGTTCATTAAGCCTTTGAATGAGGCGTACAGTTTTGTTCTTCAATGTGTTCCTTCAATTATCTGTTGGGAGTTGTGGAAACAAAGGTGTGCAACTAAATATGAAGGTTCATATGCTTCTGTACAAAGCTTTCTATATCGAGTGCAATCACTGATAATCATGCTTCTTAAAGTTCACTACAAGAGAATCAAATGGCAAGATGACTGGGCTGGAATTTGCAGGTTCCTGGAAGGTTTTAAACCTCCAATGAAAGCTCTCAAGGTGATGTGGTCACTTCCTCCTTTAGGTAGACTGAAGCTTAACACGGATGGGAGTAGTAATGTTATGAAAAGAATGGTCTGTATTTGGGGTATTGTTAGGGATAACAGTGGAAAGCTTATCATGGCACATGTCAAGGCTCTTCACTTCTGCACTAACAATACGGCTGAAACACAAGCTGCACTTTTTGGAATTGAGTGGATTGCCTTCAATAGGATTCACAATGTAATTCTAGAAATGGACTCTTTATTGATTGTTAATATGCTTAATGGATCTTCTTCACCTTTTTGGGAGATTCATGATGATATTTTAAAGGTGAAAAAAATTATTCAGAGTCATCGAATTAAAGTCCAACATTATTATAGAGAAGAAAATTCAGTGGCAAACACACTATCAAAATATGGTGCTACATTGGATATTCTACCTATTGCTACCATCTTCCTCAATGTTCAAGATCTACCTAGGGATACTGTTGGGGTATATCAAATGGATAGGATGCAAATGCCTTCATTTATATTCAGGAGATCAAAAATGAAGAACCTGCGGCTAGATGGAGTAGAATGATAATTGTATATATATTGTGTTTTTATATTTTTGTCATAGCATCACGTGTACATGGAAAACTCACTTCCTACCATCATAGTAGTACTAACATAGCTGCCCATTTTTGGTGTTAACTTATATTGGATTGGGTATGTCCAGTCCTTTATAATTCACAGAGGAATATAGGCACTTGGTTCCTTTTGTTGTATGTTTTTCATTTTGGTTATTAATCTACAGGTAGAGGTCTGCCTAACCCCCACCAAAATGGTGGTTTTTAAAAAATATATATATTTCCGACATTCATGGGATTTAATTCCAATTTTAGTTGGTCAATTAATTAATGAGAACAAGCAACATAAGAGAATCCGTAAAGAACTTTCTAGTTCTTTAATATTTATCCATGTGAATTCTCTTTTATTTTTGCACATTATACTTGGCTAAACTCATTATGCCAACTGAATAAATTATCAATATTGATAAACTTCAGGTTTACACCATGATGTGTGCAATTATCAATAAACTCCAAGTTTATTATGATATGGATTTTTATATCAATAAACTTCTCCTTTATCGTAGCATTCTATTATTTGTATACTACAAATTGGAGAATAAAGCGAGTAGCTTTCACATATATATTACTCCACTACAAGTTGTAGTAATAGATTAAATCTTTCCTTTATGTATAGTCTCAATATAACCAACTACTTTCGCGAATACTTTAGAAACTAAATAAGTTTCTTTGAGACTTACTACAACATAATGTCTTATTGATAATCAATTTTGTTCCTCCAAAATAGTAATAATTGGCTCTTCCAGAGCTCTCAATTAATTTAGTACTACCACATATTCATCAACATCCATATGGTGAATATCTCTTTTAAAAATATTTATACCATTATGGTCATGTTCAAAATTATATGCAAGATCTGTTTCTTGCATTATTGTTGTCTTTTAATAATCACATTGCTAAAATATTTTGGCGTATAATAAGTACATGACCAATGACCATTTATGCCATAATAATAACATTATTTTCTTATTTTCTCTCTAACATCCTTCTAGAAGTGAGTGTGGTATATACTATTAGCACGCCCATACTCTTCCAAGAATGAATATATATTCATAAATCACATATTGCCACATTCACATCATAAATGGACCATAATTATCTATATGTACTTTACAAAATCTCATGTTAAATCGATGACAAATATTATTTTCACATAGTGAAAAATTAATTTGAGAATCCTTATTGTTCTCATTACCACAAAGATGACGATTATAATTTCGTCTATTGCCACATCCCCATCCATTAATACATTTATGGTAATAATTTTGTCTTCTTTCAGACGTATCACATACAGCTATCACATTCTCTTAAGGGAATGAGAATGAATCAAATTCAATTCCACTTCTTGTGCTCACAATCATACATGAATTTGATCATGGCAAGACATAGAAATTTTATCACTTCGAGTGATTCTAATTTCTTACAAACTCTATTAGAGTTATAATCAAATTTTATCTTTATTTGTATTTAAAATAAATTATAGAATGTCACGGATTTAAAAGAGAAAATAAGGTAAAATGCTTACTTTGAATCCAGAATTTATTCCCGAGGGAAGTTTATGGAATAATTTACCATCGCTATGCTCAATATTATGGATAAGTTGAGCATCATGCACATATCCCAAAGCATCTATTCAATTGGTTGGAGTCTCGTGCTGATAACGTATTATAAAACAATAAAAGAAGAAGAAGAGCATAGCAGAGAAAAGTAAAAAAGGAAAATTCTTATTGATTTTGTGATGAATTACAATATAAAAACCTCTATTTATAAGAAAAAAGTGACTTAGCCACAAGTAACAAACCCTAAAATCTCTCTAAAATATAGACATTCATATTAAATACAATTTTATTTATAACAAAAAATAATTTTATAACTATACTAATACAATGAATAAAATTGGGGAATAGACATATTGGCCTTAATCATCGCCCACGTCGAAAAGCAGAACTTCTTTTTGCCCTTTGCTACTGCTGGTTTTAAGATCTTCCTGCTGTCACCTTTCTTCAGTGTACTACGAATCCTATAACCTCATATCCTGCTATTAATTATCAGAAATTTTTTTATTCGCACAAAATATTTGTATTAATTCAATATGTATTTTTATATACATTGTTATTCTAATAATTAATTAATACAAACTATTGCGTTAATTATTTACTTAAATATAGTAAACTATATGATTTGGTATAAATACAACTTGCAGGGTGAGGTTTTACTTCTCTTATTTACCCAACACACAATCTTCCAAGTTGCAACCATTTTCTTTTTCTCTCTCTTATTCTGCACTTTTTGTTTTGATTCGGAAATTGTTGGTATTGTTCTGTTATAATTATCCCTTCAAAACCACTCGTAGTAACCATTTAGCGAAAAACTACAATCAGTGTCTCTTTCTCATTATTACTGACACCTCATTTCTTCTTCTTCTTCCTTTGATTTCTCTTTGTAGCTGTTTCTTCAGATTCCATTCTCTCTTTAAGATGAAGGTTTGATTCTTTATTCCTCTTTGATCATCATTTCTCTTTATACATATAATTTATGTTGCACGGATTCTCTATGTTATCGTACCTACCTGTGTTGGATCTTCCACAAATACACTCTTTTTGGAGGATCAGACTCGCACCCAGAAATATTTTTGAAGAGTCTGAACAATATAGCATATAGCACGGACGTAAATGAATTTTCCTTTCTTCCATTTTCGGAATACAACATCTCAGGGTGTCATCTTTTGCATTGAATACTATATGGATTTTTGGATATTCTTTTTCTTTTGTTTAATTAATATCTTTTATTCTGTAGACTTTTGGGTACTGATTTTCATCTTTACTTTCTAATTTTTTCTTTTTAATCTCTTATTTTTCCAGAAACGTATCCTGATAAAAGTGGATTTAGAAGATGCTAGAGAAAAGCGGAAGGCCTTGAAGACAGTCTCTGCTGTTTCAGGTTTTAAAAATTCTATTTTCTGAATTTTCATTTTTCACTAGTTAAGATTTTGGAATAAAAGATGATACTCCCTGTTTCGTTAATAGTTTGGGAGTTAAAGCAATTTTTTCCGAATATATCTTAAAATACTTTAACTATAAAAAATTGTGTTTTTTCATACTTCTTTAAATTTTAAAATCAAAATTTAAATTTGCATCGAAAATTGGAAGCGTTAAATCTTGTATCCCAAACCCCGCTTTTTCTTTTGACATAATCGAGTAGGTGAAAATTTATCCTCAATATTCCAATCAAATTATTAGATGCAAGGCATGTTTTTCTCATACAAATTTATCATTTAAATATGGTTAAATAATTTTTATTTTTATTTTAACCTTTAACAGCTAAGATTAAATTTTTTGATTTGGTGTAGACATTGATCGCCGGTAATTATTATCTAAAATAATAATAATAATTTTTTTTTGATTTAGAGTGCTTTAATTTAGCTATAAGTTGAAAAAAATTAGTTCACGTATTGGGTTGCTACTAAAAGGTTAGGTGAATGGTGAAGATCCTATTTCTAGTTTGGTAAGTAGATAATGCGCGATGTTTTTTTTACTGTTACTGGCAATTGATTTTTAGTTTGTACTGATTAGGAAGAAGAAAAAAGAGCAGTAAAATTGAATAAATTTAGTAGTTGATAATACTGTGTTAGGTGAATTGGAGTGGTAGTGACCATAATATGGCAATTAATTGATTTCTAGTTTGTACTGATTAGGAAAAGGAAAAAGAAACAGTAAACTTTTCTAAGTTGATTCCAGCATGACGCCACGTCAAATGGGTCCACTGTCCTTCTAAGTTGTTCCCCACTAAAACAGTTTAACGTAGTAGTGTCACTTTGCCTAGCTAAATACAGAGCGGTAATGAATTTTTTGAGCAAATAGAGAAATATTTTTGCTTTAATATAGTTTACTAATACTAGTACTTTTTGCTTGGAATGTCTTGGTGCATGAGTTGAGGCGAACTTCATTAATATGACCATGTGCTTTTGCATGGAGCTATAAAAGACGTGCAAAAGGTGTTATAACTATTGCCATCCTAGGTTGTGGTATAGTGTTAATATCCTTTATCATTAATAAAAAAATTTGAATTTGAGTTTTGAGAATAAAATCATCATTTATAGAGTTTTGTTCAAAACTATGAGTATCCTTAGTCTTCCTTCCTTCTTCCATGAGCTTAACCAAATGAATTTGATGTTGAGCTCTTGTAGGAATTGATGAGATTTCGATGGATATGAAAGGTAAGATATTAACCATCATTGGGACAGTTGATCCAGTAAGTGTAGTGAGCAAATTGCGCAAGTTTTGGTGGGCAGAGATACTTATAGTAGGACCAATCAAAGAACCAAAAAAGAAAGAAGAAACTAAAAAAGAAGAAACTAAAAAGGAAGAAATGAAGAAAGAGGATGAGCCACCTAAAGAGGAACCAAAGAAAGAAGAGCCACCCAAAGAAGAACCTAAGAAAGAGGAACCAGCTAAAGAGGAAGCAAAGAAAAAAGAACCACCCAAGGAGGAAGCAAAAAAAGAAGAGCCTAAAAAAGAAGGAGAAAAGAAAGAACCCAAAAAAGAAGAAGAGAAGAAACCACAGCCACATCCACAAAGGATATTTTTGCCACAACCACAACCTTATCTACAAGCTGCTTATAGGCCATATTATCCTCCCATGCACACATCTTACCAAGTTCACCATAGCATGGAAGAGAATCCTAATGCATGTAATATCTGTTAACCTTGTTGAAGAGAAAAAAGAAAGAAGTCATATGTATAGGTCAGTCTCCTTTATGTTGTTTTAGTTATCTTATTATCAAGAATGAACTCAAGACTAATATTTGAAGAATAGAGAAGCTAGCTTTTGTGAATATATAGACAATGAGGCCTTCCTCATCTATTCTAATATTAGATTGTGTAGAAAGCATTGCTACCACTATATATAGCGTCAGGGATAGCTCTTTTCCAAAGTGCGGAGGGTATTGAGAATGTAGAGAAGAAAGGAAAGATCCCTCGAAAAAGCCTCAAGCAAGCTGCATATTTTTCTTCTCCTCGAACCGCTCAAGTATGATGCATTAGTGGAGTAAGGGGAGGGGTGGAGGGGGGAGATCCGTTATAGAAAATGTGTGGAATTAGGATCAATTCATGAACCCTAATTTCTGGAAGAGAATTGATGAAGAACTTAGAGAGAGAAAATATCAGAAGAAGAAGAAGAAAAAGAAGAGAGAATACTTCATTTCTGTTAAATGTCGGTTTGTACAGTATATGCAAATATATAGAAAAATGCTAAATAGATATTATCCACTAACTATTTAACTAACTCACTTAACTAACTTCAATAATCTAGAACCTTCTAAAATATTAGTACATCAATATACACTTGCTATGTTACTCCTTCTCAAGCTAGGTGGTGCAAAAATGTTTAGCACTCCTAGCTTGCCTACAAGATGCTCATGTTGTGGCTTTGCTAACCCTTTTGTTAAGATGTCTGCTTCTTGATCTCGAGTGCCCACATGCTTTGTCTTGATTAGTCCTTCCTGAATCTTCTGCATGATGAAATGGCAATCTATTTCTATATGCTTTGTCCTTTCGTGAAATACAGGGTTGGCTGCAATCTGCAATGCGGCCTTACTATCACTGTATATCTCAATTTGTAGTTCCACATTGGTCCCAAGTTCCTTCAAAAGTGTTGCCAACCAAACTACCTCTGAGATAGCAGTAGTCATGCTTCTGTATTCAGCTTCAGCAGAACTCTTAGAAACTGTATTGTGCTTCTTCGATTTCCAAGAGAGTAGTGATTCTCCATACTTCACTATAAAACCTGATATTGATTTCCTTGTGTTGGGACAAGATGCCCAATCTGCATCACAGTATACACTCAATGTGTTGCTGCTCAATAGAATACCCATGCCTGGTTCTCTTTTAATATACCTGACCACTCTCAAGGTTGCTTCCCAATGAGACTTCTTAGGACTCTGTAGAAATTGGCTAAGTATCTGCACTGAAAACGCTATATCAGGTCTGGTGAATGTCAAGTATAGCAGCTTGCCAATAAGCCTTTGGTATTGCCCTATGTCATTCATTAGTATATCATCTTCGACCCCTGTTAATTTGTCAAGTTCTGGTACTGCCAGCTTTATATTTGCCTCCAAAAGAGTCCATGCTAGTTTAGCACCTGTTAGCCCCAAGTCAGATATTATTTCCAAGGCATATTAACTCTGATTGATTAATATGCCTTTCTTTAACTTACTGAATTCTATTCCAAGAAAATATTTCAGCTCTCCTAAATCTTTGATTTTGAAGGGCTGATGCAATGAATTTTTAGTGGCTTCAATTAGCTGTAGATTACTTCCTGTCACTAGCATGTCATCCACATAGACTAGGATCACTACAATATCTGAGCCCTATCGACTAATGAATAATGAGTGATTCAAATTGCTTTGATGAAAACCAGAAGATAGAAGGGCTTCTGTCAGTTTCAAATTCCATTGCCTCCTAGCTTGTTTAAGTCCATAGAGGGATTTTACAAGTCTGCATACCATACCAGACTCCCTCTGACTTGTAAAACCTTGTGGCAACTCCATATAGAATTCATAATGAAGGTCCTCTTGCAAGAAAGCATTGTATACATCTAATTGGTGAATGAACCAATTATGCACAGCAATAAGTGAAAGAACAGTCCTGATAGTGGCTATTTTAACTACTGATGAGAAGGTCTCATTATAGTCCAAACCTTCTTTCTGATTATAGTCTTTAGCTACTAACCTAGTTTTAAATCTCTCCATTTCACCATTGGCCTTGAGCTTTACCTTGTATACTCATTTGCATCATATATCCCTCTTTCCTACTTGTAACTTGACTAATTCCCAAGTGTTATTCTCTTGTAATGCTTGAATTTCTGCCTACATTGCATCTACCCACCTTTGATCTTGAGAAGCATGCTGAAAGTTCTTAGGCTCTGTGATTGCCGAAAAAGCTCCAAGATACAACTAATGAGATGAAGATAATCTGCCATATGTGACAGATTCTTCAATAGGATATAGTTTTGAGCTAGCTGAGGATCTAATTCTGTTGGTGACATAATCAATCAACCATACAAGTTCCTTGGATTCTCTTTGAGATCTTCTTAAAGGCGCATTGGTGTCAGCATAACTTGGAAGTGGAGGTGAAGCCACATTGGTGTCAGCCAAGCTTGGCAGTGGAGTCTCTTCTATGGGGGCTTCTAATCAGGTGGCTCAATCTCAGGTGCATCTTCAGGTATGGGAACATTCTAGAAGTCATGGACAGATGCAGTATCATCTGTGGTGTTATCAACTATGGTGTTGGTATCTGAGGTCAATGCTGGTGGACATATTGTAGCAGTGATTGTGGGCACATTGACATCATGGTCTGCTGTTGTTGTAGGCATTGGCATACTGTGATCACCCTTGATGAGAAAAGGGATCTACTGTCTGACTTGCCTCTGCTGACTACAATTGAAATAGGAATACATCATCCCTAAAAGTAACATCTCTGTTGGTAAAGAACACATTTTTTGATATATCATACAGAATGTATCCTTTAGTCACATTAGAATAACCCATAAACACTGACTGTATTGCCCGACTTGTAAATTTATCTCCTTTAGGTAAGGTAGCAGCATAAAATAGACATCTTATAGTTTTTAAGTACGTGATAGAAGGTTTCTTGTTAAAGAAGACCTCATAGGGTGATTTCCCTTGAAGGACTATAGATGGCAGTCTGTTTATCACATAAGCAGCAGCTAAAATGCAATGACCCCAACACTTGAGAGGAATGTATCCCTGAAACTTTATTGCTCTAGCAACCTCAAGCAAATGTCTGTGCTTTCTTTTTGCCATCCCATTCTGTTGGGGTGTGTATACACATGTTCTTTGGTGCACAATTCCCATTGTTTCACATAGTTCATGTATTCCTAAGTTCACAAACTCCCCTCCATTATCTGATCTAATCGTTTTAATCACAACATTAAATTGAGTATCAACCATTCTAACAAAATTTCTTAGAATTATGATGACATCTAACTTTAGTTTTAACAAAAAAATCCATGTCACACGAGAATAGTCATCTACAATAGTGAGGAAATACCTATTTCCATCAAAAGTTGGTGTAGTATAAGGTCCTCATACATCCAAGTGTAACAGTTCAAACACTTTATTTGATCTACTAGTACTCAAAGAAAAAGATGGTCTGTGATGCTTAGCTAGTAGACACACTTCACCTTTATCTACTACATGTCGACAAGTATCTAAATTTTATCCTAGAAGTTGCTTCATAGGTCCTTCTGAAGCATGTCCCAGTCTGTTGTAGTAGATAGCTGCCTCTACTTTATTCTCCTGTGTTGTTAATCCCCTTGCATTCTCCCTTCCTTTAGTTCTGCTGCATTATTTGCCTGTGAGACCAGCAAATAAAGTCCATTCCTTTCTTTACCAATACCCTTCACTTTCCCAATGAAGGAGGTCCTGGAACCAACAAAAATCAGGGTAGAATGCAACTAAGCATCTAAGGTCCCTTGTAACTTTGGAAACAGACATGAGATTGTATTGAAAATTTGGTATAAATAGGATATTTTTAACCTCCCTTGTTCCTGTTATTCTGCAGTTACCAATATGTGTAACATCTGCTATTTCTCTATTTGGCAAACTGACCTTCTTAGTGTCTCTAACATCAACTGCTTCAATATCTCTTAATATCCTTTAAATCGCGTACAAATTTAATTAATAATCTCAAATCTTCAACCATATGATTGGTTGCACTTGTATCTATTATCCAATGAGTCTTTGCTACATCAACAAGAAATGAGTAAACAGTATTACCTGTTATGTTAGCCATATTCTCCTTTGCTTGTTCATGATTGATATTGAGGTTCAGCATCTTCATTATTTGTTCATATTGCTCTGCAGTCAGTTGTGGTGCTCTAGCCATTTCTCTTTTGTTACATCCATCAAATTGCCTAATGTTTCCTGCATTCCCAGCACCTGTGTTTGGATTAGTATTTTCAGCACACACATTGTATGCAGTGTTCATGTTCATCTTCCTTTGTCCTTTGAAACCTGCCGGATACCCAATCAGCTTGTAGCACCCTTCCTTTGTGTGTCTCTTCATCTTGCAATAATCACATTGAACATTCCAATTCCTCCATGGCTTTTGATAGTTCTAATATGTATCGTTTTTACTAGCTAGAAGGGCTGCAGGTTCATTTCCATCCCCTGTTATTGTAGTGTTAGCTATTGTCCTCTGGTTCACTCTTTCAACTAGCATTGAGTATGCTTTGGTAATGCTTGGAGTTGGACTAGTCATCAAAATCTGGCTCCTAGCTTGCTCGTATGTTTCATTTAATCTCATTAGGAATTGTAAAACTTTCTGTTGTTGCATGAACTCAATAAAAATTTTAGATCTTGGACAATCACATGGAGGTGGTATCATATTATCAAATTCATCCCATAGATTGCACAATTTAGAGAAATACACTGATACATTGTCAATACCTTGCATAATTGTTGCTATTCCTTTGTGCAGTTCATAGACTCGTGAAGTATTTACTTTGTCAAATCGCTCCCTCAGATCTTCCCAAATAGCCGTAGCATTTTTGGCATAGACTATTCCTGTTATCAATTCATTCGACACTGAACTCATTATCCATAGTAGGACTATTGCGTTACAACGATCCTATTGATGACGTAGTTCATCTTCAAAATCACCCTTTCTCAGAGTCATATCGACCAGTCCTAGCTTGTTCTTTCCAAGCAATTGGATCTCCATCGCTCTACTCCAAGTAGTGTAATTATCTGAACCAGTCAGCTGGATCGATATAATCGGTGCACCTGTCGTATCAGAAGGATAGAGGAAAAGTGG